CTTATGCAGATAACCAGCTATTATTGTTGAAAAGACTTCCCTTTCTCCATGGAGTTGCTGGGGCACCCTAGTTATTTCTTATTACTAATAAAGTATAGATGACTTCAAATAATTCACTCTTGATAGGTTAGAAGATGTTAAAAATAGACTCTCAAGTTCCCTTTATAAAATGTCAAGCGCACACACTTGCATTCTGAGATCCTTTCTTGGCCGGGAAAGACGAGGTGCCTCTGTCTCGCCAGTTAGCCACAATCTTTGCGCAGCCCCGGGGTCACCTGAGTCCTGCGCCGGACCCGCCAGGAGCTCGGGGTGTGGCAGGGATCCTGGGCTGGGAAGTGCTGCTTTAGAGAGAAAATCAGAAAATGATTTTCTTCCTGGATCCATCCTTGTCGTGTAACCCATCTCGAGTGCCTTCCTTGATTTCTGCTGTTAACTCAGTGTGGCCTGGCATCCCCTCCATCGTTTGATTCATGAGAACGCCAAGCCCTCTGTAAGGCTTGTATGCACCATAGGGAAACACACACACACACACACACACACACACACACACACACAGGCCTTCATTTTGAGAGAGAAGGCTACGGAGGGCACTCCCCTTTTTACAGCTGTGGCTGCAGAGGGTAATGTGCTGTCTCAGTGTTCTTTTCGGGGCTTGGCAGACACAGGGCCTGGTGTAAGGGTCGTGCGCTTTCGTCTTATGGAAACGTGGCCTTAAATTCCAGCTCTATTACCCACTGACTAGAGGACTCTGGTGCTGGCCTTGGGCTTGATGTTTTCAACTTCTTAGTAGACAGACCGTTGTCATGAGGCTAACAGGAAATACTTAAAAGAGTTTTACACCTGATTTTCTTACTGCTTGCTGAGCCATTCATTTCATACTCAGTCTGCAGGAAGAAGGGTAGGGATTGTCACCTCCATTTTAGCACGGAGGAAAACAAGTCTTAGGGATGCTAGGTGACCCGTCTGGGGCACCCCTGCGCTGCTCTCCTCCTGGGAACATCCTCAGGGCTCAGGGATGGGAGAGAAAAAGTACCAGAGCAGGGCGGTCACGTCAACCTCACAGGAAATCTGCCTCGAACCCCCGCCTTTGAATAGGGCGCGGGCTTTTTGGTTGCCGTTGATTGCTTTTAGAGCAATACGGCATTTCTGGGTATAGAAGCCACCCAGAAATCCCCGAGCCAATGCGACCTTGAGGTCGGAAATAACCACATTATCTCCTGTCAGGCTGCCCCACTGCCCCACCCCGGTGCCAGGACTCCCTCCTGGGAGCATGGATTGTTCTTGCAGGGTCCTAGACTGTTCAGTTTTGGGTTCTCCCCTGTCACTCAGGAGCTGACCTCTTCGGCCCTGACAGTGACCTTGAATCTGACTTGCTGTCCAGAAGCAGCTATGGCTACAAGTGTGAATTCTACTGGAGGCTTCGAGCGTCAGGGGATCAAAAGGGGCTTCCAGCAGTTTTGACACAGATCCCGTAGCTGGTCCCAAGGGCCTACATCCAAGGCCCTAGCACCTCACGGAGAGTTCCTGTGGCTTGTCTGTGCTGCTGTCACCGTCCTGAAGCTTGAAGCCCCTGCCGGCAACGTCTCCTCAACGGTGGCCCGTTGCCTCTGCCACAGTCCGGAGGGAATTCCCAGCCCTGACTAGCACTGTCCCAGGGCCTGGGCAGTTGCACAGGGAGGAATGGGAGGCAGTGTTAAGGGCAGAGGCCTGGGAGTCAGAAGGGCTTCCTCCAATGCTGGCTGTGCAACATCTCCCTGCACACAATTAATCTCGCCCTTGGAGATGAGACGGTAATGGCATGAGCCTCGGGGGCTTGTGAGGATGGAATGAGAGGATGCGCGTAAACTCCATGAAGGCTGGACTTGGCCCCTCTTTCCCTGGCTCCATCTGTTGCACAGAACAGCGGCCCCAATCTAAATGGCTGAATGAAGGTGGAGCATCATGCCTGGAAGACCACAATGTCAGCCACGTCAACTCCACCGTCACAGTCACGTGCCCTCCCACTACCAGGAAAATACGCATCTGACCTGCAGATGGGGAGGGGCTCATGGCCCCAGCTAGTAGCCCGGAAGTGCTGTTTGAGTGATGGTGGTCAGTGGGGAGACTGGCGGACTCGTGGCCTGAGGACGGAGGACACGACGTGTCCGCTGGGGTGTCTTGGTAAGCAGAGTCAGCACGTGGGCATTTGGAGGCGACCATGTATTCTTTCTTTATGAAAATAAAGTAAAAAAATAAAAGAGCCTCCAGTGGCAAAGGGTTTCCTTTCTCATTTCTTGTCTGCCAGACCACCAGCCAATGGCTGGGCACATTGGGCCAGTGTGGCGGTGGCTGGCTGATTCCAGGAATGACAAGTTCCAGGGGACAGCGCAGGGGAATCGGGTCAGCAGGGGGTCACCCAGCAGGAAGACGGAAGAGCAGGGAGGGGACAAAGGGACGAGTGGCTGTGGAGCCCACAAGGCTCCACCCCCGAGGCTGCAGGTGGTCACAGAATTTATCACCATGACCTTCAGGGTAGCCAGAGCCTGCTGACCTCTGTCCGGCTGGCATCTCGAGAGTCCTGCTCACCCGGATAGGTGATGCATGGGCTGGAAGGATACTTGGTGCTCAGCTCCAGGACATGGCTGCAACCGTAGCCTGAGCCTTCCTGATCCTTACGAGTGTCAAGACTTTCAGTGGGCCTTACACCTAGAGACATGCTCAAGATGTCGGATTCAGTGTGGTGTTGTGGAAAATGGCTCTGGAAAGCCTGCTTCTAGGCCTAGCTCTACAGTAATTAGCTGTGCCCTCGGGTAAGTCGTCTTGCCTCTCTGGACTCCAGTGTTCTCACATATAGATACTCATCTAGGGGGGGATATGGCGCTCTCCAGGATCTTTTTTTTTTTTTAAGATTTATTTGAGAGAGAGAGAGAGAGAAGGGGTGGGGCAGAGGGAGAGGGAAAGAATCCCAAGCAGAATCCCCACTGAGCATGGAGCCCCACATGGGGCTCGATCCCACGACCCCGAGATCATGACCTGAGCTGAAACCAAGAGTCGAATGCCCAACTGACTGAGCCACCTTCTGTTAAGCGCCCCTCTCCAGAATCTGTTCGTGTTCTAATATTCCACAGTTCTACGTTTTGCCACCTGAATAATGGTCAGAGCAGGTATCATTTACTGCTGGCTCGTTAGGTTCCAGGTTCTATGCCAGGTACAGATCAGGAGATGTCTCCTTTGGTCCTCACAAGCACCCTCTGCGGTAGGTGTTATTATTATTCTTATTACACAAAGGAGGGAACGGAGCATCCCAGAGGCCCACGGTGCTGGTGCTGGTGTTAGTCACCACGCTCAACTTCATACAGAGCCAGTCTGCTCTTGAGCTGCAAAGTGCTATTCATCTTACGGATTAAATTGCTTTTCTTATTTCCTTTCTCATTACGTATTCTCCTGTGGGAAGCACATGAAAAGTCAAGAGCTGGATGCTCCCTGAGCCCTGGGGGGCCAATTTGGCGCAAGGGCAAGCCCACTAGAGTGGAGCCCACACGGCTGGAGTTGTCCAAATGAAACAGAGGCCCAAGGAGCAGGAGGGAGGCACAGATCCTACAACCAACCAAGGTCTGCTTAGATGGAAGTTACTAATCTGGAGGCAGCAGGCTTGAGTGTGAGGCCGGCCGCCTCCTGGGTGTCGTTCCTGGTCAAGTCCTGTGGCTTCTTCAGACCTCTGTGCCTCATTGGTAAACCTTAGATAACAGATACAGTGTATTGAGAGGAATGTTCAGAAAAGCACTCTGTGAGCCCTCCTGAATGTCACTCCTCCAGGCCTGAGTAGAGGGCTGGGCACAAGCACAAGATCTGACAAATCTTTGCTCTGGTTGTGGCCCAGGTGGGGCACCATGATTTTCTGGGTATTACCCACCTAACTTGTTTTACTGGAGAATATTAATCAAAGCCTAACTCGTCTTGGGGATAAAAAGGACCTCTGGAAATGCAGCGCAAGGCCAGAGCAGAAGTGGTCTGCTAGCAAACGCTACTGAAGAAGACATTACGAATCATATTGTGCATTCCCACTCAGATCTATCCACTTAAGGAGCCGCACCCGGGGGGGCCCCAGGACCCTGGACAGCAGTGTGATTCCACGCCTGGGTGCAGGAGTTGGGGCATGGCTTCCTTAATTCCCTGAAAATCCAAAGGAAAAGTACAAATGAATAACAAGGTGAAATGACATGAAAGCCCATTTCTTCCCTTTGAGAAGAGCTGCCCACCCCCCACGCCACTAGCTGATAATGGCCACCCCTCATCAAATATTTATCCCAGCCCTCGCAGTCCTCCATCCGCCTCCAGCATCGTGCCAGGGATGGAATTTGATTATTAAAAATGGTCAGGAGTGAGGCTGGCAGACTACAAAGTGCCTGGGATAGAAGGGGGGGTGGACATCAAAGCCCCATGTTCTTCCTTAAAGGTCGTCTCCGGAAGCAGGGGCCTTCTGTTAGGCAATAAAACTCGCAGGGGTTCAAGAAGGGGGCCCCTGTGTGCCTCCCAGCCTCTGGGGCGGCGCTTGTTCTTTTCTCTCCTCGCTGGTGGGCCAGAAGGGAGCTAAGCCCAAGCCCTGGGGCCAGAGGCCTGGCTCCAAGCCATGGGTTTATGAAAAGCAAGAGATACCCTGCCCCACTCAGACACATGACTGTCTTCACTTTTGAGGGGGGGCTGGCATTTCATTAGTGCCCCGTTTGAAGCCTGCCCTTTGCAAAGCAGAAAATGAAGAGAAGAAAGCAAGCATGGAAGCAGATTCAAACAATCTTCTGGTGTCTGGAGTTTCTGATGTCCCTTTGTGTGGCTTCACTTATTACAAGGGTGGAAGAGCCTGTCGGGCAAGAAACACGCCTGGTGTTTATAGCTTAATGGAACCCAGGGACCAATTAACCACACCGAGCGCCAACGGGCAAAGCATTTCTTAAAGGAAGAGGGAACTCTTATATTACTGCTTCTTTTTTCCCCATTTCCCCAAATAAAAGACAAATGCTATGTCAACAGTTTCTCAAGAGCGATCCTTTATTTTCTGGAAGTCCTAACACTGACCCATTTATCACAACATGACGGATGCCCCAGTCCACAAACAACATCCTTTTCTCTCTCGCAAATCCTTGGAGCCCCGAGAGGCTGCAGCCTGGTCCAGGCAGTGGCATCAAAACCTGCCCTCCACGCCCAGCAGCCGCACCACGGCCTCCTGCACGGCCTGGTGCACGCACCCGACCTCTCTCTGCGACAGGGTCCGCTCCATGTGGCGGTAGGTGATGCGGTAGCAGTGGCTGGTCTTGTGCGTCCTGGAGAATGGAAGAGAAAGGCAGGTGAGTGAGGGACAGGCGTGCCCACCGCCTACAGGAGCCATGCTGGTGTCTCCAGCCAGCTCAACCCCAGTGGAGAGCTGAGGATGGGATCCAGGCGGTACAGGGACATCGCTCGCACTAACGGCCTCTTACGGGCTTCGGGAGGTGGTGTTAGGGGAACCCTGACTTGAATAATCAGGACTGCTGCTTCCCATTGGCCCAGAGGCATTCAAGTCCCCCAGGAAGGGCGTTTCTTATGAGTCTGATTTTCCCGGGGCCAAGCCCTGGAGACCGTGGTCCAGCAGGTGGGACGTGGGTTCTGGGCTTCTGGGCTTTTTGTCGGCTCCCCAGGGGACTCTGATAAGCAGAGAGGGTTAGGAACCAAGGCCCGTATGCCTCCACCTTTCTCACAGCACAGAAAACAATCACGGGTGGAAGGCACACTGGGGTCCCAAGGCTGGGACTGGCCCCGCGGGCTCTAGCCGTCTAGAAGGCTGAGAGGTATCACTCTCTTCGCACCCCTATGGGCCATGGAAAGCATACAGACAATTGTGCCATACGGACATGCTTCCAAGGTCCAGGTAGTGGGGCCTTTTGCAGAACTGGGTCTTCACAGAGACATGTGACAAGTCCCCACACTGCAGCGCCCAGGACAGATGCTCCACGCACATGGTTTCAAGACGCTTTCTCCACCGGCGCACCTCTGTGCTGCAGATACACCGGATGGCCTCACGGTGCTGCTGGAAGGGCAAGGCCCACCCTGCTGGGGTCCTTAAGAAACTGTCCACTGCAGAAGTACAGCGCAACTGCGCCCTCCTGCACTGGGCCTCCTGCGGCTGCTGGAAGCCCCTACCCGGCCTCCCCCGGGTGCAGAAGACAGGCTTTTCATTCAACCGGACGCCATCAAGAAAGGATGCTGCAACATCCTGAGTTTCTGAGAGATGAAAGGTTCTGGGGGAGGAGAAATGAGTTAAGGAGGGAGAAAGAGGGCGGAGGAATTGCAGATGTCTGAAGATGATGCAAACATTTACGAGAACAAGTGTGGCCTCGCGATCGGGGGGCCCAGGTTGTCAGGGACCTGGAGACGGTGCAAGGGTGTGATGGTTTCCTGTGTGTGTGTGCGGGGGGTGGGGGCGCGCACTGCAGAGGACCGCCTCTGCCCGCCCTCCTGAGTCCCTGTCCGAGCGAGGGACCTAGAGGCCCCTTAGGAGGTGAGCAGCTCAGGGTCCTAGCGCTGGCTCCTCCATCTCTGGGCCTTTCCTGGGTCTCCGTTCCTTCTCTGTTGAAAGAGCTAACAGCAGCGCCTACTCCACCAAGCTTTCCAAACTGTTGCAGAGACCTATTTAGAAAGTGACAGGGATCTGCACATTATGAAGTGCTATACAAGTGTGAGGCCAGAGTATCCTTGTGGCAACTGTTAGTACATTTTCTCGTTGGTTTCCTCTGGCATCTCTTACTTAGCTGAAGAGCTGGTAATATGGCCACTCGACAAGCTGAGATTTCCAACCCAAAATGAAAAATTTATCATCTTGTTTCTGTGTGCTTCAGAGAAGGCCCCTGTCAGGATTCCTGGGATTCACACAGCTTTTATAAAACATTTCGATGAGTGAGGTGTAAATGAATCATAAACATATGGATTAATTTTATAAATTGAGAGAAATAAAATTGGCAGAATATTTGGTGATAATTCAGTAGATTCAACTGAAAATCAACCAGCTTTGCCTTTTCCTACCATCACTGGTAAGAGAGAGAAGACTTACTTTTATTTGTTTTCTAGGAAATCTTTTTTTTTTTTTTTTAAGATTTAATTTATTTATTTGAGAGAGAGAGAGCGTGCACACACGCGAGCCGCGGGAGAAGCAGAGGGAGAGCGACAAGCGGACTCTTTGGCTGAGCGTGGAGCCTGATGTGGGGCTCGATTCCACGACCCTGAGATCATGACTTGAGCTGAAATCAAGAGTCAGATGCTCAACCGACTGAGCCGCCCAGGCGGCCCATTGTTTTTTAGGGACTTCTTTTTGGAGCCTTTAGTTGCTGGGACACACTCCTGTCCTCCTTTTGCTTGCTGGAGAACTGGAAGAAGTGGCGCTGCCGTTGGTCATGAGTCTCCTCGTCCTTGAGGAGCGGGCTCTCTACAAGAACCACGGAGTTACAGAGCTGAAGGATCTTGTGGCTTATCACTGAGCAGGTATGAAGATGGATTCCTCCAAAGGAGGGATGCCCTCAGTGCCCAACTCCAAATATGCAAATTAGAGCTCTTGTGATTCTTTTATACCACCCAATGTGGGCCTTTTTAGTCAAAAAGCTTCTCAATCTTGTATCTGCCATGACCTTCACTGTCGTTCAATACACCAGCAGCAAACATTTCTGTGGTGAGTCCTGCACGCCGGGCATCATTCGAAGCCCTCTGCAGGCGTTCACTCCTGTAAGCATCCAAACCCCACGGAGTACATAGCATTACTGTCCTGGTTATACAAATGAGGAAACTGAGGCACGGAGCACAAAGGAACGCGCCCAAGTTGAAACAGCTACTAACTGGCAGGACTGGATCTGAAACCAGGCAATCTGACGGGAATGTAGATGGTGCAGCCACTGTGGAAACAGTTTGGTGGGTCCTCAAAGAGTTAAACAGAGAATTATCCTATGACCCAGCCACTCCACTGCTAGGCATATACCCAAAAGAACTGAAAGCAGGTGTTCAAACAAACACTTATATGAGAATTTTCACAGCAGCTCCATTTACAGCAGCCAAACAGGATATGGCCATCGGGGGGATGAAGGGATAAACAAAATATGGTATATCCACACCATGGAGTATTATTCAGTCATTAAAGGAATGAAGTCCTGACACCTGCTAAAATGGGGATGAACCCCAAAAGCAGGCTGAGTGAAAGAAGCCAGACAGAACAGATCATGTACCGCATCATTTCATCCACACGAAACATCCAGAAGAGGGCAATTCATACAGATAGAAAGCAGACTGGTGGTTTCCAGAGGGTCGGGGAAGGGGGTCTGGGTAGAAACTGCTTAATAAATTAATAAAGGGGCCTGGGAGGCTAGAAGGGAGAGCCTTTCCACCGAATGTCAATTACAGGAAGAACTGCCAACCACAGACTCCAAGAGAAGTGTCCGTTACAGACCCCACCAGAAGAGTCTCAACAGGAGAGTCATCAGTTACAGCCCCCCATGGGGAAAGATGTACGTCACACCTCCTTCAAGAGATCCACCAGCCGTGCAACTCAGCCAGTGAGAAGCCGTCATCACCCCGACTCCTGCTTCTCTCCGATGGACTTCTGTCCAAAGCGACCCCTCTCAACCTCCTCCTTCTCCATAAAATAATATTCTTCTCTTTTGTTTGTGGGGTTTGCCTATGGTTGTGCCATAGCTGGCTTGTTCCGGACTGTAACTCTCTGCTATTCCCAAATAAACACGCTGTTTGCTGGGCAGATCACCGGCCGTTTTAAGGAGAACAGTGGGTACGAGGTTTCTTCTGGGGTGAAGGAAATGCTCTGGAACTAGGTAGCTATAGTACGGTTGCCCAACATTGAGAACGTGCTAAATGCCATTGAGCCGCCCACTTTAAAAATGGTTAATTTTCACCTCGTCACAAACACACACAAACTAGGCAGTTTGGTTTCAGAGCCCAAGTATTAAGTAGCAAGCCTCAGCACTCCAGCACGCTCCTCCTCTCTTCCTGTCCCACCTCCAGCCTCTTCCTTCTACCCCCAACTTCCCCTAAGAAGTGACAGGGCTTGCAAGCTACTGAGAAGGGCAATGTCTGTAATCCTCCTGCTCAAGGAAGAGACGGAGTAAGCCCATGTTCCTTTCTAGCGCCGCCCTGTGACTAACAGAGAACACAAGGCCACAAGTGAGGTGGGAAGCCCTGGGACAGGGATGCTTTTCAATAAAGGCCTTTCCTACTTAAGGGGCCATTAAAAAGGCAGGCTGCAAAGCCAAGCAGCTGTGGGGAATAAGAGAGCTGCGGGGAGAGCATGGGATGGGGGGTGTGTGTGTGCAGCCGCAGCTCTTGTCCCCCCCGCCCACAGTGGGCTGGGCAGTGGGAAGCTGCCATAGCCCCCCGCGCCCCCCCCCCCGGACTCACAGGGGGACAACCTTCAGGACAAGAAACCTTCCCTGGAGGAGAGAAGAGACTACATCGACAATTGTGGTTTTCAAGGTAAACAAAATTTCTCTTATGTACTTGGCTTCTATTCATCGGCAAAATAAACGAGAAGACCCATTACTGAGTTCAAGAGGGCAAATCTCACTATAGTGAGTTTGAAGAAAGAGCCTAAACATTTCTTTTGGCGTTGGAATTTCATTGCATTGGATATTGGCTAAAACGAGTAGGTCACTGGCTGGAGCTTGAATTTTTAACAGAGATTTAGAACATTTGAGTTTCAAGGGTTTATCACTGGTCTACTCATAGATTCCTTTAGTCTTTCCACAAATAGCATGTTCCAGGCACTGAGCTGCACAGAGATAAGCAAGTGAGGAGAACCCCGACCCAACCAGCTTACATCCAGGGACCAGTGGTCCTCCAAGGTCCTGCAGCCACCAGGGAGGAGCCCGAGCGGAGGACCATTCCCCTCGTGGCCGTGATGGGGCTGGTGTTTGCTGTGACATCAGCCACACTGCACTCCCACCACACATCCTCCTTCAGCAAACGGTTCTTCCCTCCGGTGCTTCCCTATGAGCATTTCTGTGGTGAACACACAGGCGTGGGAGGCAGGAGACCTAGTTCCCAGTCCAAGCCCCAGCGATGTCTGTGTGGCCTCCCCAGTGAGAGGGCCAGACTGAATGGGCCCCAAGCTCCTTCAGGCTCTAACACTCCAAGAGTTAGTGCAGAGGACAGATGAGTTTCTAGAGTAAATGCACATGTGGAGGAAATGACCCAGCCAGCCAGCAGCATTTGCGAGCCTGCATGGAATGAAAGAGCAGGGGGCCCTGATCTGGGGCAATTTCCAGACAGGCTAATGCATGGACATAAGATGCAT